CATTACTACTGTACAATGCATCTAGATGTTTTGGCTTTGAGGGTTTTTGTTAGTTTGTTTGTTTACTCATTCATTCATTCATTCTATTTGCAATATTCTCTTAACTGTAAATGAAATAAAATAATAATAATACAATTTCCCCCAAAAAGTACATACATACATAAATAATACTGTGGTATAAATATCTTATAATTTCAAAAATATTTTGGCACTGGAGATGAGAATTTGGATCTTAAATAGACTTAGTTTTCTTTCAAATATAATCATAATAAAATACAAATAATTTATTTATTTAGTCACACTTTATTTTATGGTCCAATTCTCGCTATTAACAAACCATTAACTATGACTTTTTCCTCAATAAACTCCTAATTTGCTGCTTACTAATAGTTAGTAAGGTAGTTGTTACGTTTAGGCATTGGGTAGGATTATGTAGAATATGTGCTTTATAAGTACTAATAAACAGCCAATTTGTTAATAATAGGCATGCTAATAAAAAAACTAGTTAATAGTGAGAATTGGTCCCTATACTAAAGTGTTACCATTTCTTTCCTTATTTAAATAATCTTAAAAAATGTTGTAAATAGACTTTGTTTTGATTAAAATATCATTATCATTGAAGTAGAATTATTATATATAATATACATCTTTGACTTTGGGGTGATCTGACTTGGCAGGTGAGATTGAGCCGTTTATCTGGTTCACATTAGCTGTGATCAGTGTGTGTCTGATCAGTGACTCACATCAGCGTAGAGTGTGAAATAGCCCTCTGTCCCGGGATGACCCCGTGACGACGGTTGACCCCTGCAATAACGGCCCCCTGGAACTCATTAGGGGCCATGATCTCCACAGACATGACCGGCTCCAGAATCACCACGCTGGACTTCTCAATGGCTGAAGACACAGGACACTCACGTGAAGCTCTGATCGGACGTCAGTGAGAAAGAGTGAATGATCTGCTCATCATGCCCTGTTTGAGAGCGCCCTCTCCTGCCCGGATGAAGGAGATTACGTTAGAGTCCACCATGTGATGAGCTCCGTCCTCCAGGACGAAACGCACTCCAGATATCTTGTGTCCCATCAGAGGACCCTTCTCACATGCTTGTCTGAAACCCTGAGGACAGAAACACACACACACTTCATCAGTGATAGAAATACTCAACCTAAAGCCAGAGTTCAGCCAGAAATGATCAAGACGAAACATGTGCGCTCCACAGAAGAAACCCGTTTGGAATGACATGAGGCTGAGGGACAGTAACATTTAGGAAGTTTTTAAGAAAATGTGCTCACCTTCAGGTCATCTGAGATTAGGATGAGTTTGTTTCTTCATCAGGTTTGTAGAAATGTAGCATTGCATCAGTGTCTCAGCAATGGATGCTCTGCAGTGAATGGGTGCCATCAGAATGAGAGTCCAAACAGCTGATAAAAACATCACAATAATCCACAGCACTCCAGTCCATCAGTTAACATCTGGAGAAGACAAAAGCTGAAACTAATCCAGCATTCAGACATTTTTAACTCAAATACCATAGAGTTCATAATCCATAATAACGCTTCCTTCAGTGAAAAAGTGCATCTCCTGTTGTCTCTCACATCAAAATCCAGCCACATATTTGTTTAGAGCTGTTTAAACGCTGCTTGATCTGTGCAGATTTCTCTCCTGATTCACACCAGAACACTTTTTCACTGGAGGAAGCGTTATTATGAATTATGGACTCATATAAAATTGTCAATGCTGGATTTGTTTCAGCTTTTGTCTTCTCCAGATGTTAACTGATGGACTGGAGTGCTGTGGATTATTTGTGGATTA